TGATGAATGTTTTTTTTCTTTTTTTTTTTTTTTTCTTCATTTCTTCCTTAATGATGGGTGGACCGCCATGAGCGGCAATGCATGGGGGGTCTAGGGGGTGCGGCAAAGACGGGATGCCGTGGAATGTGGCTTTTTTTTTTTTCTTTCTATCTTTATTTCTTCTATAATGATGGGTGTAACGCCATGAGGGGCAATGCATGAGGGGTCCAGGGGGTGCGGCGAAGACGGGATGCCGTGGAATGTGTTTTTTTTTTTTTTTCCTTCTATCTGCATTTCTTTTTGTTAATGATGGGTGGACCGCCATGAGCGACTATGCATGGGGGATCTAGGGGGGCGACAAAGACGGGATGCCGTGGTATGTATGTTTTTTTTTTTTTTTCTTTCTATCTTTATTACTTCCTTTATGATGGGTGGACCGCCATGAGCAGCTATGCATGAGGGGTTTAGGGGAAACGGTTGTATGGGTGCGGCAAAGACGGGATGCCGTGGAATGTGTGTTTGTCTTTTTTTTTTTTTTTTTTTTTTTTTTTTTTCGTTTGCAAGGAAGATGAGCATTAGCGAACTCCAACAATCAAACAGCATCATACATATGTGTCCAGATAGTCTTGACCTCGAACCAACTGCAGTCATGCATCAAGATATTTACCAAATCAGAACACACCAATAGTTCGTAATTGACAATGCTGAAATAGTTTCTCATCATCATCAACGAAGAACAAGAGTTGATATCCTATTGGCGCTCGGCGCCCAGACTACTTGTGGCAGATCCTATCTAGCCTAATACTACAATGCCGATTTTGACAACAACAGCTCCCTGAAGTACAAGCATACAGCGGACAATGCCGCACGCTTCCAGCACCAGGTATGTCTCTTGTAACACTCATAACCTGGATCCACACCGCACAGATGCCACTTGCACCCAAGGACCACCCTGCGTCACATCCAGCCTACAGCGGAGCAGCTCGGCTATGGCTGCCCGCTGCCTCCCTGCTCGCCCGTGAGAGCGTGAGCGCCAGCCAACCAGCAATGAGCGCAGCAGCGCTTGCGCAACATGCAGCCAGCACCCGAATATCGAATGAGGAGGCAGGCCCTTCCCTATATCGAAGTGGCCTGCCTGAGTCCAGTCCAGGAAGCTTCTGGTAGGCCCCGGTAGGCACAGGCCCAGTCACGAAGAGAGCAGGCCTTGGGCGTGAAGTGGTTGCATGCGCCCAACTGCTTTCGGCCTGTGTTTGGCCCGGTACCCGTATCCAGGCCAGGGCCTGCTTCACATTCATTTACACAGGCGGCCGAGGGCCTGGATTCATTCAACCAACTGGCGCAATGCAACTGCCTGAATTCTCCCCGATGCGGGGTACCCTGAAGAATGAGGCCCGAAGGGCCTGTAGTGCCTGCCTTCACTTAGGGCGGTCGACCTTGTTGCAGATAGGGCCCCGTAAGGGCTAAACGGGCGTAACCTCGCATTCCCTCCTCCATATCTTCGTTAGTCCTCTGCGAAGATCAATCTGCAACCATTTGGCACTTTCCTTTCAGTACATCCTTCTCATAGCGGGCAACGATTTGAGGAGCGGTCTGCATCAGTTCCTCCCAAGTAAACCAGCGGTCCTCCTTCGGATCTGTATGATGTCTGAAGTGGACTCGGAACTGCARCTTTGGYTTTGGAGGACGTCCYCTTCCTGGAGGCTTYTGAACWGGCATMTCCCTGTGGTCAACGATATCATCGATGTCGRCTTCTCCGTCCATGGTTGGGGGCAGCATGGATCGACGAGAGGGAAACTGATCAGTTTCCTYGRATGCRGCGAGCTTAGAGGCRTGAAAGACTGGGTAAGTTCTGAGATGACCAGGGATACGGATGACATATGATGGACCATCAGGATCTGTCCGTACTACGTCTAAAACTTCCCAAGGTCCAAAGTACTGAGGCATGAGTTTGCGGGATATCCCGAACTCCTGTCCCAGTTCTSAAGATTTGACCCAGACTCTGTCCCCAACCTGAAATGTAGAAGGGCGGCGGTGTTTATTCTCAGATTCTATCATTGCTGCCTGCGCCTTCTGTATATGCTCTACAGCCTCCTGCATCTTCTGTTCATAACGATACGCGAACTCCAAAGTGCCTCGTGTAACAGTTGGCTGGTTATCAGGAAGTAGGAAGTCTAAAGGCAGTCTAGGCCTAAAGGTAAGATGTAGACTATTAGGACTTACCCCGGTAGCGTTGTGTACAACGTTATTGTACAGACTGGCAACAAGAGCAAGCTTCTCGTCCCAGTCCACCTGGTTGGGCTTAATGTAATGCCTCAACAGGTGTTGRACAGTGCGGTTCATCTGTTCAGCCTGGCCGTTTGCTTCTGGATGGTTTCCAGAAGTCATTTGCAGTTGAGTTCCTTGTTCAGCTGCAGCGGCCTTCCATAATTCACTTGTAAATCTGACATCCCTGTCACTTACAATAGACTTAGGCAATCCAAAATCCATCACCCAGTTCTCTTTGAACAGCCTGATTACATACTCAGTCTTCACTGCTTCCGGCATGGCTATTAACCTAGCATACTTGCTAAACCTATCCACGATGACGAAGATTTGCCTCATCCCAGTCTTGCTAGTGACCAGCGTATCCATGAAGTCCATGGACAAGCTTTCACCTAGCCTTTCCGGAATCGGAAGGGGCTTGAGCAGCCCAAGAGGAGCCTGAGTACGGGGCTTGTCTCGTTGACAGACTTGACAAGTCTCCACATACAGTTGTGCATCTCGCATCATCGTGGGCCACCAGAATCGCTGCAGCAGGTTGGCTGCGGTCTTCTTATACCCGAAATGACCGGTGGCATCATGACACTCACCTAGAAACAAACTACGCAAAGACTCACTATTGGGAACACACAATCGTTTATTCCCTGCCTTCTCAAGGAACAGCAAGCCATTAACCAACTCAAACTCGGCGGACGTCTTCTTGTCCTTCGTCTCAAGTCTGTGTATGATCTCAGACATGAACTGGTCCTCGCGATAGGCTTCCACCAAGGATTGAGTAACATTGTCCGTGAGATTGAACTCAGTAATCAGCGCACTTGAGAAGTCTGGTCTGCGCGACAAGGCGTAAACAACCTTGTTATACTCCCCTTTCAGATACTGAGGGTCAAAGTCATATTGCTCAATGACTTCAATCCAACGCTTGAGAGCGTCAGAGAGTACCGGCTGGGTTCTCATCCATTTCAGGGTCTGATGATCAGTTTTGAGGATGAAGAACCTCCCAAGGAGATAGTGTCTCGAATGGGTGATAGCCTTGTACACCGCATAGAGTTCCTTCATATAAGTGGACTTAGCCAACTTCTGAAACGACATTTTCTTAGACATGTACTCAACCGGCCTCAACTTTGGCACCTCTTGCTGCGCAAGCACGGCGCCAATGCCATATTGGCTAGCATCCGTGGTTTCTATAAATGGCTTATCAGGATCGGGTAGCTTCAAGACTTCATAGTGCGTCAATGCATGCTTCAGATGTCTGAAAGCAACCTCGCACTCATCTGTCCACTCCCACGGGGTGTCAAGGCGGGTCAGATCAGTCAAAGGAGCGGCCACAATGCTATAGTTCTTTACAAAACTCCGGTAGTAGCCTGTCATTCCTAAGAAAGATCTCATCTCAGTCACAAAATGAGGTCGTGGCCAATCACGAATGCTGGCCACCTTCGCGTCATTGGGCTTCAACCCTTCCGCGGAGATCTCATGACCCAAGTACAAGATACGGGTGCGGCCAAACTCGCACTTTTCACCGTTGATCTTGAACTTGTGCTGTCGCAAGAGACTGAGAACTTTGTCTAAGTGTGCTACGTGCTCCTCGACAGTCTTACTAAAAATAAGTATGTCATCGAGGTACACGACGACAAACTTATCTAAGTAGTCATGGAATATCCGATTCATAGCGTGCTGAAAGGTGCCAGGAGCATTGCAAAGGCCAAAAGGCATCACCACAAACTCGTACAGACCGTACCTGGTCTGAAATGCATTTTTGTGTTGATCCTCGGACCGGATTGCAATCTGATCGTACCCGGACTTCAGATCTATTTTACTGAAGTACCGACACCCTTGCACTCTATCTAACAGATCATCGATGCACGGTAAGGGCTCTCTGTTCTTCACAGTGATGGCATTGAGGCCCCTATAGTCAATGCACATCCTGAGAGTGCCCTCCTTCCTTTTAGGTACGAACAGCATTGGAGATCCGTAAGGAGAGACACTCGGCCATATCCAACCCTTCTCTATGAGTTCCTTGAGTTGGCGGCGAAGCTCATCAAGCTCGCCTGGAGACATCCGATATATCCTACCCTTTGGAATACTAGACCTTGGGATAATCTCTATCGCGTGGACGACCTCCCTCTCAACAACCCCTGTAGGCTCCTCAAAGAGATCCAGGTACTTGGCAACTACTCCCTCTATCTCTGGCGGCATTTTTATCGGCTCGCCTGCAGCAGAGACGTAAACCAGATACATACCCTCCTCCGGATTTTGCTTATAATAATTGCAGAACGCGACCACACACAAGCATCCGTGGGAATCGATCAGACTACTAGCCTTGAACTTGTATAATCTGGCGGTTACCCCGTTTGGCAAAGTGTGTTTGACCACCTTTCGGTCCCAGTCAAACTGGGGCTGTGCCACGGAGAGGTAGTACATACCTAATAGCATGTCCATGGGGAGCTCGTCGCTGACCAGGAATGAGACATGATGCCTCAATTCCCCTCCCGCATACGGGAAAATACATTCTATGTCTTTTAGGTAGTCATGGACTACCATGCGTTGTTTGTTGGCGCAGGTCGATTCCACAGGTCGACTCAGGCGCTGCACTTGCCCCTGTAAGCGCAGCCTCTCAACGCACGCGCGACTAATAAAGTTCCTAGTCGAGCAAGTGTCGTAATAGGCCCCGACCTTGCGGCCTCCTATGACTACCTCACTGACAAACATTTCACTCCTAGGGGCTTTGACTAACGCCGTCCAAGAAGCTAGTGGGTCTGATCTAGACCACTCATCCTCTAGCTCCTCTAAGGATTCAAACACATTCATCGAACAGAGGGTCGATGGGTCTGAATGTGCTTGCGGGACGACTGAAGAGTCTGTAGTTTGAGCCATTTCTCGCGAAGGTAAGGGTGTATCCACCATCGTGACCCTAGTAGGAACAACTACTACTCCTACTGGCCCGACGTGTTTCCCAGAGCACTGCCTGAAGAACTGGCAATGTTGCTACCAACGGGTTGAGAGGATCCTACCGCCGGCCCCATAGTGGGCGGGATCTTCTCGGTGACCTTCCTGTTGCGGCACTTGTACATGCTATGACCATATTGGCCACACTTGATACAAGCTTGTCGTGCCCACCGATCTCTCCACACGTCCTCAGATAGACCCGCTTTCTCCCATGGAGGAGCATTGGGGTCTGTTTGACTCTTCGACCGGGATACCCTAGGGCGTTTACCGGTCCCTTTACCTTTTTGCTGGGTTACGGCGGCCACTCCTCCACCCTCTGAAGTTTCGCCACTAGCCTCTGCACCTACTCCCTCCTGGAAGTTGCCATCCAACTCGATGGTTGATCCATCGTTGTCGACAAACATGATGAGACCTTTCGCTTTCCAGTTAGGAGGCAGTGTCTTCTTTTTCCCTTCCGTAGTGGGTGTCTGTCCATGCCCTATCTTTGCCTCAAGGTCTAGGGCTACCTTGCTGAACGAAGGAAAGTTGTGCATATTGATGTTGGCCTCTTTTGCCAACTAGTTCCTGAGAGGCTGAGATAAGCACCTCAAGTACGAAGTTAACAGGACCTGGGGGTCATAGCGTACCCCTGGAACACAAATCAAACGCTCTACAGCGTCGGTGGCATCCCTTACTGACTTAAACTGCCGCTTGTGCAGTGCCAGGATCGCATCAGTGGCCTTTACAGCCTCCTGAGGATCATGCCACCTCTCTTCCACCATTTTCAGGAAGTCCTCCAATTTTTGAGAGGCTGCCCAAGAGCGGAAGTCATGACCGTACCCCTGGAGTTGCACTAACCCACTCAACCATCTTGCTGCACTACCCTCTAGGTAGGAAGCAGCCACAAGCACTTCTTCGTGCGGCAAGGTGAGTTTACACCTGACGTAGACCGGCACTGCCCTCAACCAAGTGTCGAGGTCTTCGCCTCTCTTGTCCCCTGTAAAAGGTTTGGGAGCGGCGATGGCCGCTTTTGGAACCCACTGATTTTGTCCCGGTCCCTGCACCACCCCGGGCTGTGGACCCGGCGATACAGGTTGTTGTGCTTGCTGCGAGGGCTGTGTGCCCTGCGGCTGCACAGGTTGAGAGACAGCAGACTCCGTGGTGACCGCAACCTGCAACGGACTCTGAGTGAACACTGTCTGAACAGGAACCTGTAAACTACTCCCTGCTATTACCCCTCCTGACAGAGGCATGCCCAGGGAAACGATAGCAATTGATGAAGGGGCTACATATGGGGATACCCCAGTCACCGGTGGAACAGAAAGAGGAGGATATGGCACGGGCCAGGCACCAGGCCCTGCTGTTGATGGTGCTGCYTGAGCACGGCCTSCCAACACGGCTAGGYTTTGTTGAATGTCCTGAAGGAKGGTAGTTTGATGCTCCTGCATCTCAATTACRCCTAGCAGGGCCCTCCTAACTACCTTCACATCATCATCCATATGCRTCAGGTCCATCGTCTCTAACTCCTCTATGTCTGCCCCTCTCTGTTGCATCCTGGTTCTTYTTCTAATCATCATCTCTTTTTCCCTTTTTATCTGTCCTAATRCCCGCTGTAGMTGTGCCTCCTGCARGGCTGCCTGCTGGATGGCGACATCCTCTGGGGTCAACACCGCGGGCTGGCTTAMCACTAAGCYAGTGGACTGACTCACGGTCTGTGCGATYGTGGACCCGACGGTACCTGAACTACCGGCTGGAGAAGTCTGYTGTGCAKACRTGCTCATGRYTGTTGTAGCCATGGYTGCTRTAGCACCGGCCTCGCTAGCTAATGCCCTGCTGGCCTCGGCTGCTCTAGCTCTCCTCTGCTGCTGCCTCTCCCGCTGYCGRCRGAACAGTTCCCTATYACCCCCCGGTCCAAGGGACACGTGAGATATGGGGCCTCTAGCTGATCGCAAGATCCTGCRGTCGTCCTCTCCGGTGTCCTCACTGTCGCTCATAGGCTACAACYCTGTGCACCGCCTACACTAGATCATTCAATGATGCCTACCGCAGCATAGTGCACAGACCAACTATTTAGTGGTGGCTATTTTTGGAACAGATCTCATTTGGGGTCAACAGGTAAGTCAGATTCCTAC